TATATGAACGTTTTTCATATGGCTAAAAATGACTTATGGGTAAATATCTGGACTAAACTGAGTCATGTAGAGTTTTATGTCTGGTCGTATACGTTTTTTTGTTTGAAAGTGTGGAGCCCACTGTGATTGTTGTAATTAAGAAAACTTTGGAGAAAATTTCCGAAAATGTCATAGAAAATCGACATTTCCCCAGGCCTAAGAAGTATCTAAAATGTGGGGCAATCACCAAAATGTTGAGGTTTTCCCTCAGGTTTCCTTAAACTTTGGGAAAAATATCATATTTCTTACAACTTTACGGAAAACCCTAAAAAATTCGCACAGATTGGGATAAATCAATAAGTACCATAAGACCCACTTACGTCTGTTGAATAAAGCTACGAACATAATAAAAACAAGAACGAAGTCGTAAATTAAAGTGGTTGGTTAACTGAAGACAGAATCTGTTAAAGCAAGAAATTACATCCCTAAATTTGAAAAGCTATCGTATGTTCTCATAGTAAACATTTTATTTCAGTTCGATTAAACAATACGTGTTATAAAACAAAAAAAGTGTAGATAGACCCTAGAGGATATAAGACCTCACCTGGTGTGATAGATGTGATTTATGTTTCATATATTGAGTGTGCTTCAAAAAATATACAAATAAGGATTTTAGGCTGTAATATATTTTCAAGATGGTTTGTGGATAAGTTTGGTATATTTAAATGGCCCTCCCAGAAGTCCTAAAGCCTAACGAACCTAGAGGTAGCATTGATGATGCATCTTATATTCGGTTTTATACAACTATTGTGAATATTTTACTTTAAATATTCATAAGGCCAGTGAAATCAAATCGGGCCCCAGTCAAATCATCCAGCACTGTTCCAAAACATTGAGAGCTGGTTCATATTACATATTGAAAAAAGGCGATACAGTGAAGTTTCAACTTATCGGCTAGTAGCATTCCTCTTGACACCCTTAGAGTTCCACAGTTTCAGATGTACGATATTCAAAAAGGGTACTTAATTTCCGTAACATAATTTCAACTCGACAGCGAGGTTTCAGGGAGGAACACACTTTCATAGCACTAAACGTAATACACGGAAATTGAAGACACTACATGTTTTTAGAACTGTGGGCACTCTTTTTACCCTTTGAATTCGCTGCCAGCTGAGGTGGTCTAAGAGACGTCACAGAAGTCAACAGAGAGAAAGCTTTATACATTTGTAAATCACCAACGTAGATGATCTATGTCGAAATGATTGGAGGCCTACTCGAGTTAGACGTGAATAGTGTGACGAACCAACTAACGTCGAAGTCACACCTCGTGGTCAGCACCTTACGTGGACTACCCCCATTGACGTAACAAGGTACTATAGATGCTTTGAAGACTGTACAACACAAAGGACGTTATTACAGAAATATATTAATTAAAGTAGATACAAGCGAAAGTAAGACCACTGCCGCATGGGCCAGTCCATGGCGTATGATTAACTAATGCGCGTTGCTTGTACATGACCTTGGCAGGGAGCGACGATCTGTTCGACATTCAGTGATCCAACTGCCGGATGATTTGGCTAGGGCTCAGTGACATTTCACTGGCCCTACAATACTCCCCCACCAGATTCAGCGGCCGTTTGAATCGGTACCAAACATGTTGGGAGCAATCGCGCGCCGGAGAGTGCCAAACGAATATTATAAATTCTCCAGGTATTGCTTATCTGTAAAACAAATGGAAAGGAGGCGGCAGAAACTGGTCGGGAAACAGCGAGTCATAATATGTTAGTAGGACGTTGCTTAAACGTAAATTGATTAACCATAGAAATAATGAAAAGAACAAAGCGTTTAACTGTTCTATCAAGTCGCGCTGAAATATATAGCTTTGACAAGCAATTCAGTTCCTCCGATGACGAACGTTAAGTCTGCCGCAAGAGTAATGATGCTATAGCTTTTTTTTTTTTTTTTTTTTTTTTTTTTTTTTTTTTTTTTTTACTGTCATTAGTTTAAAGTTGTAAGTCGGACAGTGTCGTTGACAGCTATTAATTAGTGTCGAATTCTAGTTATATCTATATCTAACAGACTAACCGTAAGTACAGAAGTATAACAGTGAAGAGTGGTCGTTATTTCGTTGTGCGAAGCTATTGACCAACTTGTAGTCACAGTTTGAAAAGTCGATGACTGCTGTTACAGCCAGTAAGGGTTGAAGGCTACAAATCCACAGCAAAGGTGGCACGATGAAGTCTCTAAAAGATGATAAACGGTGAATGCTGCGTGATTGTTCGGTTAGTGAACAGAAAAATATCGAAAAGAACATAAGAAACCAAGAGTGTCACTCTGGACTCATGTCAATGATACCCGTGAAAAACGCTGTCAGTGTTGGGATAGAGGCGACAATATCGTTTTCAGTTTGCAGGAGATTCGCTCGACTGCATAAACTGATGATTCGCGCGAATGATATTGTCGTCAGACCACCAATTGAACTGGACAGGTTGTAAATCGTCGAGTAGTTGAACAGCCGATTGATGTACCGAAATCATCTGTTAAATAGCAGACACGAGGAAACAATGCTTCATAAAATAAAGTACGACATCGAAGTAGAATAACTACAATAGTTCAGATGTGTTACAATGTCAAGTCTAAATAACATCGTTCTTACGTATACTGACAGTTGCACTGAACGTTCGTTTAGGTATTATTAGCGTAATTGTTGGATGTGTGAATAAAAGCATATACGAAAACTACGGTTGGGTTCGTGGAGAATTTTCGAGGACGTTTAGATATTTTCCAAACCCGTATCGCATGTAAATAAACCGAAAATAGAATTAAAATGACTGTCGTGTAATAAAGAAATCGAGCCATGATTTACCGTGTGAATTAATAGCAAATACAAGGGGTATAATAAACATTAATTAAAATGGTAACCACCAATGTAACTAAGGTTTAGAGGGTCCAGGTAACGTGGCCATTTCGTAAAAGGCTGATACAAAGAGCTTATTACCTAGCGTTAAGTGACATATTAAGTACGACAACGTGTGTACTTGGGACATGGACTAAGCGTGCTCGTGTACATGCAATATGTTTTACCACAGTATATCGACTAACGAGTCATAAATGTACATGATTTCGACTAAAACTTGACGGCAGTGACAGAATATATGACTAGTTTACGTGAAAGCAACTACGAAATGTTATCACGCATCATAAATATAGTACGAAATAATCTAATGAAATTATGGAACTCGCCTGGGTTAATCTTGCCTTTAAGTAATGAAGTAGGCAGTAGTTTGAATCTGGATTATGTACGAGGTACTGTTGATTAAATTTTTCGATTAACACAGCGTTGTAGACTGAATTTGTATAAGTCCAGAATTAATGTAAGCCGAATACATAGCATTACCTGACGAAAAGTCTAAATGAGATCTAAGATCGCAGGAAATTTATAGTTCAAACTCACCGTAAATTTCTAGCATTCGTATCCTCTGTTTGGCCATGGAACTCAGCAATTGGAAATTAGGCAGGCAGTGGTAAAAAAAGGCAAAAAATTCTAGTGGATAGTGGTTAAGCAGAAAGATGAATTTATAGTCGATAGTTAATTTTGTCTTATTTATACCAGTGGATAAGGTACAAAGAGATATGCGTTCGTGTTGCCTTGTGGCTATACTCACGAGTGGTTGATATTTTAACAGACGTATTACACAGGAGCATTTACATGCTGCTAATGCTTGTTAAAGAACCACGATAGCCGATTATAATCGTAGTTGATTGGTTAGTTCTGTCGATTGAACGAATTATCTAGGTTTAAATGCTAATCAACATTGACATGAAGCAACGAAAGTTCACAGTAACAGATTAACATAGGCGATGATAAAAATGAAAAAGAATAAGTATAGAGTACAATAATAAAGATTATAGTGATAGGTTGCGTTACTCGAAGTCTTGCTCACCAGTGTAAATCACCAACGTAGATGATCTATGTCGAAATGATTGGAGGCCTACTCGAGTTAGACGTGAATAGTGTGACGAACCAACTAACGTCGAAGTCACACCTCGTGGTCAGCACCTTACGTGGACTACCCCCATTGACGTAACAAGGTACTATAGATGCTTTGAAGACTGTACAACACAAAGGACGTTATTACAGAAATATATTAATTAAAGTAGATACAAGCGAAAGTAAGACCACTGCCGCATGGGCCAGTCCATGGCGTATGATTAACTAATGCGCGTTGCTTGTACATGACCTTGGCAGGGAGCGACGATCTGTTCGACATTCAGTGATCCAACTGCCGGATGATTTGGCTAGGGCTCAGTGACATTTCACTGGCCCTACACATTAATAACGACTCAGGACAATACATCACTGTAATTTGCCAATACTTTTCCTTCTGTTGTTAAAAATACATATGTTCTCACCTGTATGCATCTTTAATATACTGATTCTCGAAGTTCGTTAAGTGAAAGGTCTGTAAGCTATAAACAATTTTGCTGTCCTCATAGATTTTGTCGGACCCACCCTAGCTGACGGTGCTCAGTCATGCATATGTACCTGATCATGAGTGTGTACTCCGGCTACGCATATCTTGCATACTTTGGCTTGTCTAGATCAAACGTCTATCTACTTATCGATAGTTTTTCAGACATAACTACGAACGTCTTCACTTCTGACTTATGATTTGTCTAGGTTGACAAACTTCGATTATAAAGCTGTAAGTGGTAAAGGCTTTGTCGAACTCCGAATGGACCATATTTGACTTATTACATCTAAAAAACAGAGCAATAAAACGAATCTCCAAAAAATATTTGCAGTCGATGCAACCTACGTGCTTCTCACTTATAAATACTGGGGATTCGTCAATACAACGTTGTAGGTATTGAATAGAGGAATTTGTTTACTACACAGTATATTCAGTTTCATCAGCAAATATAAATTGAAGGTGGTTCATCATTTCAAAAAGATAAAAGACAGATCATCCGAGAAATGTATTGTTTAAATGAATTATCCCTCAAGGATTTATTTTTGCCCTAAATAGAGCGTGATATGAGTTTAGGGTTGTCACAGGATGGATGATAATATCATTAGGCTTATGCCAAAGAAAGAATATGTTTCTGCTTATTCTGAATACATGAAAGAAAACTCTGGAACTAACTTGTCTTCATCCGCCATTGCTGGTATCGTTATAGGAGGTAAGTGATGTTTAAAAGTATGCATATCCAGCTGTGTTCTCATATAAGAAAACATGGGGCATTTCAAATACTCAGATATAGCAATTTAGGTTTACATATTTAGCCGGTTAACGTTCTTGTTTTTGAAAATTTTGTTTCAATGTATCTTTGCGAAGAAATGGCGAGACCATAATTTAATGACGAACCAACCACGTATAAGATCACGCACTCACACATTTTGCTTTAAGGAGTTTTGGGTATATAGCTTATGTCAGCTCGTGATTAAAACTCCTAATATGACTCCCAACTTTAACCACTAACTCTTAATCTAAATTATGTTTCTGCACACTGGTTTCGGGCATGGTCATTCTGGTGTCATTCAAAGGTTGTCAATCAATTATAGTCTCAATAAAAATGTGTTGTACCACAAATCTTAATTTCCTGTTTAATTTCTATTGGATCTTGTGACTATTTATTTTTAATACTTCACATTTGTGTTTTATTTCGTGGACGATGTAGCAGAAAATAATGTGTTATCAGTAGTCTTATGAATTATTTTCACACTGTAGTGTTTTTTTGTAGCTTATATTATTTTATTTCAGTCATCTCAACAATTAAGACAAATAATTACTCGAATATAACAAATTTCAAAAGTGATACACACTGGGTACTATTTTGTCCATTAAGTTGCAAAAAAATATTGTGATTCTAAAACGCTCTCAGTAGAGTATCCAGGCATATATTTATTTTTAGATGTAGTTCTATTCTTCATTTTGCTTGCAAAGCGAGGTTGACCTACTTGAGAATAAACTCATCTAAATGTAATGACTTTTTGACATTAGTTGGTAAGTTATTTTCAATTTCCACCCAGAACATACTACTAGGTTATGGGTGAAAAATGAACGTTGCTTTAAATTCCATTTACCATTCCTAAAATTCTCTCTTTTCAGCAATAATTTTTCAACTGTGTGGAAAGCATTTACTTTTTTACTCGAGTTTTATAAGTTTTTCTGTAGACTATATAATGCAGACATTCAGCAATTAGGAAGTACACCAATTAACCTGAGTTTATGAAATGTTTTGCATAGTATTTTACAAGATGCTTTATATGAATTTCTTCCATCATTATTTGGTTGTCTGAAATTCTTGGTGGCAACACTAATTGACAACCAACTATGTAAAAGTTCATGACATTATCGTTCTAAACGTCACGGTACATAATTATTTGGAAAGGAATATCGACATAAAGCTCGTATAGTGTTCATATCATATCATCTCTCTACCTATATGTGGACTTGTTTCTAGCATAGCTCGCTTCGACATTATATCCTATGGTTTTTTATCTATCCTTTTGTTAGAAAAATAAAATTAATAAAAAGCTGTGGTGATAAATATTTCGTCAATAATCACATTTATCTAAAGGCCTTAAAGCTACAGCACAATGTTCTAAATTGGTTTGCATTTATGATCAAATCTGATTATTGAAGTTATTATTTTCTGTAGACAGTCTATAGTTGACCAACTCTAGGCTTTATAACTCAACCTCCAACACTTAAGCCTAGTAGCATTGGACATCCTTCATTGAAAAATTCTAATTCACGATCAATTACGTTTAGAGGATTGTGTGGCTTGTTTGCTTTCTGATAAAATTCATAGTTTGTAATTTGCTTTTCAGTCACTGCATTTGTTTCTACTACTTCAACGAAATTATATATCAGATTTCGAGGGTCATAACGTCGTATTCATCTTATCTGAAATGTGTGTGATTCTGTTTATTTTATGAATCCAGTAAAAATCATTCCATATTAAGAATAAACTTAATGGTTTTAACACAAAATAGCTTAGCTAGTAAGTGCATCTTTCGATTTTTGTATCATGGAACAAACCGCATTTCTGCGTAAATATAACCTGTAATAACAAGCAGTAGAAAAGAGTAAATGATGGATATTGAAAGTCGTAAGGCCTTCAAAGTTTTAAGAGTTAACACAAACCTCAGTAGAAAGCAAATAGGCCAGCAAAGGACATGACGTCTAAATATTAGACGTGGCCGGATTTTGAAAATCCAACAGTAGACAAACTAGTTGAAAACCTTTGGTTTGCGCACATTTTTATTTAGCAAAGTGAACATCAAGTTTTAATGATTTTAAAGATAAGTTTGTATTTCATCATACTAAGGTCCTTCTTCGGATTGATTGATTATTCTAGTTTACTATTTAAACCTGAAATGTTAGTAGCCCTAATATAGTGTACAATAAGTCTTCATATGTTTTGGCTGTGGTAGGGAACTCCACCTTGTGGCTTCAAATACGATTTTTCCACATTTGAGCAGTTTTATAGCTCTGAAAAATGAAGTTAGTTTACTGCATATTTTCAAATTATCACAGACAAATTTTAAAGTTTTCTTAATCTTCTGGAGTAAACCTATGTGTGGCGTTGTTTAAATCTAGTATTCAAGCTAACAATGCAAACATTACATTAAATCTGACGTTATCATTTAACAAGATATATTAAAAAAGCAATTTCATAATATAAAAGTATAGATGTTTTCTAATTAAAAAATGGTTGAAATGAACATAGAGCCTACTCACACGTTGAGTAATTCGGGTAGGTTCATATATCCGAAGTTCCTTAGTATCATGATCATTTACTGGTATACTCCTTGTAAGATCACCATAGAGTCTGATTTATTCATGTTTTATCACCCATAATTGCCACTCGTTTGGTCAGTTTTTAATTTCGGGGTAATATAATAAATAATGTAAATGAGTTATATATAACAATAGTTGTCTTGTATTGATAGTAAAACTCTCATGAATAGAGTGAAATGCGTTTAAATCGTTGTTGAATGACTCCGATATATACCAATCACACATTTTTGACTAGCTGTGAGAATCGTCGTTCTCGTGTATTCTTGGGGGACATTTATGCATAAAATAATAAATCCATCATTTTATTTAAATTTCACTAATTTCTAATATTTACTATAAAATGGAGTATTTTCTTCAATTTAAGTGTGTTAATTCTCAAGTACCAATTATAATAGCCACTAGTTATTGAACGTTTTCGTTAAACAGGTGGGCTAAGTAATATTTACAGAATTTTAGCGTAGTAAAATGTAATGCTGTAAAACCAGCTCTTGGAGATTGTGACATCTAAGTTATGTCAAAATAAAATTCTTAGTAGTATTTTGAATGAGATTAGTTCCTACTGTGTAAACATACACATAATTTTCCCTAGTAACTATTGAAGCAAGGCCTCTCTAAACATAAATTATCCAAATTTAAAATGCAATCTATTTTAATATACTTATTTGAATAGCAATTCATTAGATATGTTTCATTAAAAAGCAACTATGATTATTATTGTCTTAAGTAAATATCCTATAAATGTTTTTACCGATACTAAATATTTTGTGTACTCATATTTTTCAGTTGTTCGTTACTTTAATCACCAAGACTTTATCGGAGAATAATACTGTTCAGTCTGTCAAGTGTTAAACTTTCATTATTAAACAATATGACTTCGTCTTTAAGATTATAAAGTACTGGTTTTAACTCCGATTCCCACTACAAACGGCAATTGTTGATTCAGAATGTTTTAAGTTAATTCTATTGATAAGACGTAGAAATTCTAGCTTTACAAAATAATATTAACTACTGATTATTTGTAAAATTAGCAAACACCATCAGTTTAGAACTCAATGTCCTGTTTTAAATAGCATCCCATTAAAGAGAAGTAAGTCTTAGAGATTTAAGATGCTAGAAAATATTTATAATTATAGAGCGTAATTTCAATGGAATTTCGTTTTCAAATCTGAGACGTATTCTTCGAAATCAAACTGTCTACAAATTCCAAATATATTAAAGAGGAAGAATGAATTTGTAAAGTCTCCGCTAATTAATTCGAAGTAAATCTAACGTTTCACCTAGCAATCTGGTCCAAACTTTTTCAAGGAAATATAATCAAACGTCAAAACTATCGAATATAAATAGGTACATGGTTTTTCGGTTCACTGTATATTGAATAGGTAATCCAATCAACGTTAAAAATGTTTAAAGTGGGTATTTGCGTTAGTGTGTAAGAGACATGTGGTCTGAAACGAAGTGTCAAGATAACAAATTGTGTGTATACGTAAGTGAGAAGATAATAGTTAGTATACGTAAGTGGTGTGATAAGCGATTTCTTTGGTCGGTAATTTTTAGGAAACATATACTTGTATAAATGAAATGAATCCAAAAATATGTTACTCTCAAGTTAAAACAGTATTAGGTCATTCCTGATTTAAGCTGGTTCTTCAGCTGGGTTTGATATTAATCAATGTCAAGTAAAATAGCCTCCATAGACCATAGTTTTGAATGACGTGTGTCTAGAAGTTAAGAACACTTAAAGGAAAAACCTTTTCGTGGTGTTTATGAACACATTACCCATATTGAAACTAACTGTTTACGAAAAATACTTAAATAAAAAAGCTATGTATCATGAAAAACGTATTTATCCGCATTTAACGTGACTTTTGATACCCCAAATTTGTTCTCTTGTCGAAACTAAATCTTTCATCAGTAAATTTAATTAAAAAATACGTTTATTCTGTTGTGGTTTTCGACTCCTCACTAATAGGTGATCACTAACCCGCTAAGAATCCAACAGTAAAATTTGGATAAACACAGTACATATAAGCCATTCAGTTGAACTGTAGTTGTTTATACTTTTAACCTCGACTACTTCATGATTCACGAGTTACTGTCTTATTTTCAATTCCATAGATCAATGTTTCTTGATTGACCATTCAAAAATCTACCTCAAAGTTACCCAATAGCAAACACATGTTTATTATTCAGTTTATTTTAATTTATAATTAAAACTATTTCCACAATGTATAACATTTTTAAAGAATAAACATAAATAACATTTTAACATCAGTAGAAGTACACGAAAGCACAGAAAATTATTAGCTTAATTTGTTACTTGAATTATTTTAAACTGGTGATTTTATGTTTACGGATATCCTTCAAATTACCAAT